ATTTATGACAGATAACAGTGTTACAATGTCTCTATTGATACATTTAAAAAAATATATTTTGAAACTGCAATGTCCTACTTGTACTTATAGCCCTTTAACTTGCAAAAAAAAAAAGCTAAGCACATGTTAACATTGGCTATTTCTAAACTTCGGACAACATTTAGAAACTATTTAGCACGGGTTGTAGATGCCTAACAGATTTTGGGGGGTCAACGTTAGAAAAAGTGTGTTTTTTTTTCAAATGTTTTCATCATGTTTTATAATTGGTTTTATAGTAAATTATACGATATGATGAAAATAATGGTATCTTTATAAAGACCATTTAATGGCGAAAAATGGTATATAATATATGTGGGTATACTTAAATGAGTAAGAGGAAAATTACAGCTAAACACAAACACCGCAGAAATGTAAAAGCAGCCCAGGTACTTAACTGAAAGAAAATTGAAAAGTGGTCTGGTTACTAAGGAATAAAAAAAAAAAAAAAAAAGATTACCTAAGGATACCATTCCAAGGACATTCTAAATGTACATTTACATTTATAAACTTGAAAACTGTAATTTTAAAAGTTAGGATTATAAAAAAGATTTTTTTTAAATATTGCCAAAAAGCAGAATACATCTTGTTAGTAATAATTTTTGCACGTTTGAAGTAAAAAAAAAAATATGCAAACTTTGAAACATCAGTACTTTAAAATACAAAAATAATTAATCTTATTATTTGCCCATCTAACAGAATTGTAACAAAGCCTGCATTTGGCATTGAATGAAATTAATCACACAACAGAATGCTTTTGTAGAAGAATGGCCTTGCTTTTTATTGTATAAAGGCTGAGAAAACACTCTTACATTAATCACAAGTTATTGAGTTTCAAACTTTAAATAAAAGTATTGGTCGGTGTCAGTTTAGTTCAAATAAAGTAAATATTTATCTATTTACCACTCTGTAAATAGAACTGACATATAAGAATAGCAACGTGTACCCTTGATGCTGAAGTACCATGTATTTCCCCAGTGTCCTTGACTACAGTTTTCTGTAAATTGAAGTAAAAATGACAGCTGTCTTGAATAGTCTTTCATGAAATATTTATGTTGACCTTTAGAAGCTATATGTTACAATTACTGTTGTAACCATTGAGTGCTAGCATTGGGATTTCACACCTTAGCATAGCTACAGATTGGTAGCCACTGCAGATTGCTTTTGAATTTTAAAAGCATCATGACAGGTAGAACAAATTTTCCAGCAGAATAAGTAGACGTTCTAAAACAATTACACCTGACAAATAAGAATTAGAAAATACTAGACATATTGCAGACAACATGATGATCAGACAAAGGACCATATGCTATAGAAGGCATGTTCAGAAATGTCCCTAACATTCTTAAATGGAAGATTTGCAAGAATTATTCAGTAAAGGGGTAAATTGACAATTGAATTGCAAAATTTAGGCCAAATGAACTGATTTGGAAACAGTCTCAGCTCAGTTATCGTTACTGCTTAACTATGATAGCTTGCATTTTAAAATTCAGTTTTTATTTCACTACAATTCACTGTTTAGAGAATACGCTCTATTTTTATAATAGAATAGGTGTGAACTTTATATTGGTCAAAAAAGATTGGAATAGATAAATAGCTTAGACAGACAGACTGACAGACAGTCAATGGATAGATGGGTAGATGCAAGGTTTGCTACTCCATCTCTCTTATAAGTCACCTGATCTCCCTATACCTTCTCTCACCTCCTCTTAAGATAGCACCCATCTTGCTTAATGTATTCATCCTAAAATCTTAACAGGATTATTCATTAACTTGAGAATCCAAAGTGAATTTCAAATTCAAGAGCAAAATAGCTGAACTGGAAACATTCTCAAAGTCAGCTATGCTTCCAGTTCAGCTACTTTGGTCTTAAGGTTGAAATTAACTTTGAATTCTCACTTTTTTTTAATAACACTGCAATAATTAAAAAGTGTAGCTTTAAGTAAGGTGTTTCTTTATAAGTTACATGAATATTTATGAGCTATCGCGATCACACATTACACACTTCATAAATATTTCTCTTGTAAATGTTGATTATTAATTTTAATTGATTTCATATGCTTAATATGTTGTGATTTTGGGTGATCATAGTTCTCTTCAGTGAAACATAAAGGTTGAATTATTTCTTACAGGAAACACATTTTCAAAAGGTATGTTCAATATGTGAGGACAGCAACATGTCATTGCACATGGTTTAGTATACTGATATTTTGATTTTCAGGAACTGAAAACATTGACCAGCGAGTCATAATATCTCCTGCTGGGAAACACAACTGGAGAACCCTTACGAATTGAACCCATCGAATTGCTCAAGCAGATAATCAAATGTGAAGAATATCTAGAGGTGATAATAAACAAACCAACAGACAGATGGTCACCAGATACAGACTATGTGACTGGGAAATTTAAGAATCCTTAGGTGGTTCATTCCTATTAGCAAATGAAACAGCTCACAGCCCTCATGCATCTTTGGTGTCACTCGTCAGATATTAGAGGGAGAAATATGAAAGTGTGACACAGATTTTTAGAATGTTATATGAATATAATATATGTTTAAAAAGAAACATATGGAAAAAATATTTGGGTTTTTGCTTGATTAAATCCATTGCTTTTATTAGAGGCTGCATCTAAATACTTAATATTTAATAACTTAAAGGGTCCATATAAGCAGCATACAGTGAGGGGAAAAAAACATATTTGATCCCCTGCTGATTTTGAACGTTTGCACAATGGTAAAGAAATGCGGAGTCTATCATTTTAATAATAGGTTTATTTTAACAGTGAGAGACAGAATAACGAAACACAATCCAGAATAATGCATGTCAAAAAAGTTCTAAATTGATTTGCATGTCAATGAGTGAAATAAGTATTTGACTCCTTCGACTTAGTACTCCATGGTAAAACCCTTGTTGACAATCACAGAGGTCAGACATTTCTTGTAGTTGGTAGTTGATCACCAGGTGTGCACACATCTCAGGAGGGATTTTGTCCCACTCCTCTTTGCAGATCCTCTCCAAGTCATTAAGGTTTAGAGGCTGAAGTTTGGCAACTCGAACCTTCAGCTCCCTCCACAGATTTTCTATGGGATTAAGGTCTGGAGACTGGGATTAAGGTCTAGCTAGGCCACTCCAAGACCTTAATGTGCTTTTTCTTGAGCCACTCATTTATTGCATTGGCTGTGTGTTTTGGGTCATTGTCATGCTGGAAAACCCATTTTCAATGCCCTAGCTGAGGGAAGGAGGTTCTCACACAAGATTTGAAGGTACATGGTCCTGTCCATTGTCCCTTTGATGCGGTGCACACTCAAAACATAATGTTTCCACTTCCATGTTTGACAGTGGGGATGGTGTTCTTGCGGTTGTAGGCAGCATTCCTCCTCCTCCAAACACAGTGAGTTGAGTTGATGCCAAAGTGCTCGATTTCTGGTCTCATCTGACTAAAATGCTTTCACCCAGTTCTCCTCTGAATCATTCAGATGTTCATTGGCAAACTGCATACTGGCCTGTACATGTGCTTTCTTGAGCAGGAGGAACTTACGGGCGCTGCAGACTTTCAGTCCTTCACGGCGTAGTGAAGTGTGTTACCAATTGTTTTCTTGGTGACTATGGCCCCAGCTTCCTTGAGATCATTAACAAGATCATCCCATGTAGTTCAGGGCTGATTCCTCATCATTCTCATGATTATTGAAACTCCACAAGTTGTCACCGTACTGCTTGGCGATTGTCTTATAGCCCATTCCAGCTTTGTGTAGGTCTACAATCTGGTCCCTGATATCCTTGGACAGCTCTTTGGTCTTGGCCATGATGGAGAGTTTGGAATCTGATTGATTGATTGGTTCTGTGGACAGGTGTCTTTTATACAGGTAACAGGCTGAGATTAGGGGCACTCCCTTTATGAGAGTGCTCCTAATCTCAGCTCATTACCTGTTTAAAAGACACCGGGTAGCCAGAAATCTTGCTGATTGATCAAATACTTATTTAACTCATTGACATGCTAATCAATTAATAACTTTGTTGACATGCTTTTTTTCTGGATTTTTTTTTTTATTCTGTCTCTCACTGTTAAAATACACATACTATTAAAATTATAGACTGATCATTTCTTTGTCAGTGGACAAACGTTCAAAATCAGCAGGGGATCAAAAACATTTTTCCTTCACTGTAAGCATATTGCATTGTTGCAAAGTGCCTGGTGTAAGAGCACCATTTCAAAAGTTGGAGTTAGTAGCAGTGATAGGTAAAAATCACTACCACTAAAGAGCTCACCAGAGCAGTAAATACGAGAGATGGAATAACTTAGGCCTCGATTTATATTGTGAGTCATTAAAAAAATTATTTTGCCCAGGTGGACAAAAACCAGTAAAAATAACTGAATTTCAATCGTAACGGCAATTCTCATATTTACTAAAGCTAAATACTGATGGAATTTCATCGGCCAAAGCGAATCTACATTCATGGGATTATTCACTAAAGTCTGAATGGTACTGTACTGAACAGACAAAACCAATCATGTACAAGGCCATTCAGACTTGTCATTATTCACAATATTTAATAAATGTCCCAATTTTGCAGCTCATGGCTGAGTTCATATAGTTTGCAATTATAGAAATATTTTTCCTCTTCCCTTTGACAAATAAAAAATGTGATATGTAGGAAATGTCTTCCTTTCTTATACCTCCATCTTGTGGGTTGATGCAGTGATTTTCCTGCATGTATCAACAGTCTGTCAAATAACAATTATGTATGCCTTATATTGGAACATTCATCTTTTGAAAATCTGAAGTACCCATTTGTCTAAGGTTATATCTGTCCAAATTTGAGGGATGTGAGGTAAACCACTTACTTGACTGCATGGATCTTTTTTTCTGATGAGCCGCTTCTGTCATGGGCTCATCTGTTAGTGCCTGAGGGCCTTGACTTTCCCCCATGATGACAAAAGTGGGCATGCTAATATACTTCCCGAGACTACTCAGTAGCCATGTAGGAATGACCCTTGGTCTGAAAGGGCTTCTTACAACCTGGAACACTCTTCTTTAATTTATATCTGCCTTTTACCTCTTGCATGGCAGAGGGGCTGAAAAGAAAGGAGTCTACCAAATTAGGAAACTTGTGTGACTTAGGAGCCAAATCAGACATCCCTGCCGAGCGCAGCCAGCGAGTTCTGTGGATGTTGGAAATATAATTGCAAGATTGCGCAATAATAAGCATAGCTCTACTAGAAGCTTTCAAGTGTTCCATCTTAGAAGCCAATAAGGTAGGTAGAGAAGGGCTATGAGAGGATCCCTCCCTCTCTGCTTTAACTAAAATAAGTAGAAGGGGGCCAAGAGCATCTGAAATCTTATACTGGATATTGCAAAATGTCTGATCCATGGGATCCACAGGAACATTGCCTCTGCTGATGGATAACAGTGCTGGATCATTTCCAGGAACCATTAATGCCTGATTGTCAGGGATACCAATATGGTTTCTAAGGAGGAGATCATCCTCTTTTACTAGCAGGGATCAGAAAACTAGTTTGGCAAAATCCCTGACTTCTGACTCTTGCTCGATAGCACATCTGGAATTGAACAATTTTGAAGGGAGCATTTTACCTAAAAGGATCACCCTGGCCCTCTGAATGTGGCTTAGGTTTCCTCATTCAGTGGAAGCTGCAGAGCGAACCACCTCCTCAGACTCCCAATTGATCTCAGGTGATAACTGTCTGGAACAGGACAGGCTCAGGGAGAATGAATGAGCAAACTCTCTTGAGGAGGACAGCGAAGGACTGATAGCAGTCAAATGAGTCTTGTCCCTTTTGCGTGAAGTGTGCTTAGAAACCGCAAATGAGGAAAACACATGTATAGTTTTAGGCGGTACTGTTTCTTTAAGTTGTCGACTACTCAAACGAGAGTGAGGGTAAGAGTGACCAAAATCATGTTCCTCAGCAGAACTTGAGGAAGAGGAAATGCAACCCTTCTTTTTTCTTTTCTTTTTCTTTTATTTTTTACTTTTATTTTTGAAATCCTCCACAGAAGATGAAGAAGATAGGTCCCTGGTAAGGAAAGCCCTCTTATGGAGCTTTCTAATCTTGATGGGACTGTCTCTTAGATAGACATCCACCATATCTGTGGCAGACATCACAACTTTGTCATTTTAAAATCAGAGGTGATGCCGCGTGCTGCTTGACTGTCCTGATCACCTGATTGGCTAAAAACAATGTTGCTGTGCAAGAGCACAGCATAAGCATTTTTAGCATTGCAAGTATTTCTACAGGAGGCTGCCACACACACACTGTGCTAGGTGGTTATGCCTCCCGGAGGGACAAAAAGTAAAGATAGTGCTTTAGAGAAAAATATTTTATTAGAGGTTTTTTAAGTCATAAGAAAAAAAAAGTACATTCAATGAATGTTCAAATCCAAGTTCTTAAATTAAACCATAAAAATATACTTGCTCTCTGACCACACTGTCACTCATAAGACATCATTTAATTTGCTTATATAGTGAACTTAAAGGAATGTATATTGATTAAATATTATTTTACTCATAAGGCATACGCTGCAGCTTATAGATCCTACTTATTGGTCCTACTGATCTATTTCCTTTTTATGTATTTTATTTTAGATATTTTAACACCTTACTATGTATAATTTGATCTGCATTAAAAAAAATTGTAAGAGGATTATTTAATATTAAAAAAAATATTTTATTTAAATAAGCCTGGATGTTTTCCAAACTTCATCGTATGCTGGTTTTGAGATTCATTAGCTATGAGAAATGACATTTCTATTTAATTCTGTTATTTAAATTAGGCATCTGAATCAGGATTTTATTACTTATCTTGGCTTGATTGTAAAAGATTTAAAAAGCTGTTTTTGGAAAGTAGTTTTGCAAAATATGTTACTCATAAAATAATTAGTTATAAGAACAGTAATACCCATGTTTACCTTGAAGCTGATTAAGGTAGTTTTATTTACAAAGCTATTTTGCAGAGTTCTACTGTGAGTGTGTCTGTGAGACATATGATTAACTGCAAGTAAGCTTACGATTTGGAACAAGAATTGATGTGGGCTTTGCTCAAACAAGCTTAACCCCTTAAGGACTGAGCCAAATGTACACGTTGTGATCAAAACAAAATATAAACAAAATCTTGAATTTGTGCTATATGTCTGTTCAGGTATAATTCACCTCTTTCATATTATGTGCACCCACACTTATTATATATCATTTTATTCAGGGGCAACGGGGCTTTCATTTATCATCAAATATTTAGGTATGAAAGATAATTTACTATGTATAAAATATTTTTTAAAAATGGGAGAAAATAAGAATTTTCAAAGAATTTTTAGTTTGATGTGACTTTTAACTGTGAATGTCATAATACTGTTTGCTTTTATTGCAATAAAATACACATATTTGTATTCAGCGAAATGAGGGGTACTTTTATACTAGGGAGACTTCGCTCAACACAATATTAGTGTTTCAAAACAGTAAAACGTATCACAACAATTATATTGTGCGTGTAAGTGCCATTTGTGTGTGAAGATTATTCCCAGCTGTTTAATAGCAAACATCGGCTCCCTGCAAGATTAAATTCAGGCTTACACTAGGCTGTGGACAGTAGTAATGTTGTCCCAGCAAAGGTTATCACTGGTGACTGAGCAGGTTTACATATGAACTATGGCACGTTATAGGGGGCATACAAGGGATTAAGCAACTTCATTCACTACATGCGACTTGGCTTTCATTGGGTTCACCCTATACCCATGCTTGCTACAAGAGTCTCATATCATGACTGAGTCCCATAAACCAGTAGTGGAACACTCTGCTGGCCCCAGGTTGTGTCCACTAACTTGGCTCCCACCAATTTGTCTAGCAGGAGCACGTGCTGGGTCGCAGGGCCACCAGGGGCTGATGAGTAGAGTGTGAGTGCTGGGGCAAGGGAGGAGAATGGGAAACCCTGCCGCTTCCTCCATGCCGGCACCCACGTGTAAACCACATTTGCATTTTGGGCTCAGGCTGCACATTGTGCGTCGGGTAAGCTTCAAAGTGGAGCAGAAGTGGCTGCAGATTATTGCCAGCTTATAGTTAGCTGGGTTTGGTGAGGCAAAAGTCCAGATTAAGGCACTTCATGAGTTGCTTGCACGGAGCATGCTACCATTCAGTTTGACAGCCAGGCCCCGCCCCATGATAAAACAATTCTATTCCAATTTAGATGGCTATATGTAATGATTTTTAGAAGAGTTTGTAAGCATTTTGTGACTTAAAAAAAAGCAAAAGGCTATGCCGGGATTAATGAAAAAGGGAGAGATAAAGAATGGGAGAGAGGTCAACAAGTTACTTGATAGGTTTTCTTGAAGAAGTGTTATTTTAAAGATTTCTTAAAGAACTACAACCAGGGAAAAGTCTAGGGTGGTGCGCATTGAAAGAGGACATATTTAGTTATAGCATAATTAAATTATTCCTTAAATATATAACTGTAGATGTATGCATAGCTCTTCAGTATTGGTGGTAGACACCAATGGTGTTGAACAGTTTGAAAAGAAGCTAAAGACATGTGGCTTTAGTTAACAAATGAACACACCTTGTTTGCATGAATTTGTATTTCTATGAATCAAGAGATTGGCAAGATGTACCCAGAATATATTACAGTGCCAGTGTCAAATATGATTGTAGGGTGTAGCCTTTTCTATTACATATAAGAATGTATTTGTGTTCAGGCAGTCTGTTTGCAAGCTGCCACAATGATAAATTGCCCTCACAATTTCTTAACCCATATGCAATGTTAGAACCACCTGCCAGATTTCCATACAAAATTAAACATCTTGGCAACTTTTGCTTCCCATGTTGTTAGAATGCATCTCAAAATGCATTTTAATAAAGTGACCATCTGGCACACAGAAATGGGCTGACAAGAAGACCTTGACATTCTATGAAACATAATTCAAAGCATACAGATGCCCAAATTTAGTAGTAATCATGACTAAATTATATAGTCAGTGTTGCAAATATTACAGCACAACAGGAAATAAATGCAGATAAATAGTTTAGATCTGTTTTGATAAGTATTTATTAGATTAAGCTCATAAATGATAAATACAAAACCATAAGATCAATCAGATTACCTACCTACATATCTACTTATCTATCTACCTACCTACCTATCTATCTTGATAAAGACCATATAGTGGTCGGTTGATTTACTTTTTTCATGCGAATTTGAATACACTGAAAAATGTTTTCATCAAATCCAGAGTGCTCTAGTCATTTCTTATTCTATCTATCTATCACCCCCATTCCATTTTCTCATTAACTGTTAACTTCTGTATTTTTTTGTTTTTCATTATAATTATTATTTTTATTAAAGCAGAAAGATTGATCATGGATGTTTTTGTTTTCTCTATTAATCATTCTGTCTATCAATCCACTGATCGATTAGTCTGTCTGTTTCTCTGTCTATCCGTTTGTCTGTTTATCCATCTGTCTGTCTATCTATCTTTCTTTTTCCAATCACAATGCACTGCTTTGTGATTTGATAGATTCATAAGACATGTGAAACCATGAAAAGCAAATGCTGGAAGTGCATGCAGTTGCAAAGATGCTATATCATGGATTAGAACACTGGAAAGACCTCTTTGAACTACATAAATTCTGCATTGATGCTAGAGACTGCAAAGATCTGCTAATGGAAAACACGATATACAAAAAAAATAAACAAAATAAATGCTACACTCAGAAAACCATAGCTTATAACAGGAATGTCAACTCTACAAACTGTTAAGATGAAATGATTCTGTGAAAAAAGTATCATGTAATTTAACAAAGTCGTATTCGGTAAATAATAACTGAAATACATGCCAAGAATTCCACATCGCACAGTGATGCAAGGGGGGGGGGGAATTAATACACTGACAAGAATAAAAAATGTGATTTCTACTGAAACAATATCACCTGAAACAAAACATTATCTGTGAAATACAATCAAACATCTAAACACCACCTAGCATCTTACAGTCAATGGGAAATTATATCAGTATGTCAAATCAAATAACTCTTACTATTATGTTCATCATACTTAGATTATTCATGTCTATGAGGCAAAATAGAGACAATGTAAATTCCATCGGGACAAGCACTGGATCTGTGTTTTGCCAGAAAAGCATGGTTCATTGTTTTAGTTTCTTTAGAAGCAATCGCAAAATATGATAATTCACATACATTTTGTAGTTAGTTGTCCATGGATCTCCACCATGGCTGATTACCTCATCTGTGTAACTTTACTTTTTGTAAATGAGAGTTTCAGACACTGGATGCTACAAGAGTTCTATGTCAACAGAGAATCTTTGCCATCTTTCTGATACAAAGTCATTTTCATTAATGTTCTTTAAGAGAATCCTGGAACCTAAAGAGGTGAATTTTATCTACGACCAACATCACCAACATTTTGAAGCTTCTTT